AATGGAAGGGGGGGGAGGAAGCCAGAAAAACTGTTTCTGTTCCTTGCACTCTGTTGGTGGGATACATAGACCAGGGGACTTCCACGTGAAAGCACTTTCTGGGGTGTTCTGACAATGCATCTGGTGAGTCTTTTGAAAGACGTCCTTTCTGCTGTCAAGCCAACTTTGAAGGCGCCATCTGGGGAAGTAGCCAAGAAGTCATTGGGTGAACTTCTCTGCTTTGCAAAGCTATTAACACCAGTACAGAGAAGGGGGAAAACAAAACTCTCTTCATAGCTTTTTGAATTAATGTTGTTTTTTGCTGCCAGGCATACTCCTGCCCCTTCTTATTCCAAACCCAAGGACAGCAACTGTTGGACTCCTGAAGGATGAGAGAGACAGAGAGGCTTTTCTGTGCAATAACTATATGGCACAGAAGTGCTGTGATCCATTAGTCAGCACAGCTGCTCCACAAAATAGCCAATACCCTGAATGTAACAGAACAAATTGCACATAACCAAAAAATACCTACAGCATATATCAAACCAAAGTGACTCAAATGTCCCTTGCAGTGCTTTGGGGTGCTAATAGCCCCGCAACAAATGCTTTATCCAGTGGAAAGGCCTTGAACACCCATCTTGGGACAGGTCAGGATTTTTGTATTTTGTTAGTGCCCCTTTCCAGACTAAACTGAGATGAAAAAGTTGTGCGGTCACATTACTGAAGTCTGCTGTGTGCCAACAGGTATTTTGGTTTTGAGAGAGCTGCCTGCACGCGGCGGGGAACTAGGAACTATGGAGATTAATTTCTGCTTTGTCACTGACACTCCAAATGCACCGAGTCATTTATCATGGGGATCTGCTTTCTGATTTCTTCATAGCTACGTAGTGCCCATATGTGCGAGTGCTGAGGTGCGACTGCTTGAAGGAATATTAGAACAAAGGTAAGGCACTCGCTGGAGGAAACTTGCAGAGTTTACCCTGTGAGACTGCAGGCTGGTTAAATAAATATGTCTGAGCACAGCTGAGGCTTGGCAAACAGCATCTCTGGCAAACACCGAGGGAAGAAGTTCTTCAGGGTCTGGGCTTTCAAGGAGGGGGATTCCTCCACTGGCTGGGAGCCTCTGGCGAGGCTGCGAGCCGGGGCGCAGAGCTAGCCAGGGACTGCGGGAGGTGGGGGGAAGCTGCGGGCTCACTGGGCAGCCCCGAGCTCCTGCTCCGGCGTGCAGACTGACAAGGAACAGGGGGAAGACAAGAGAGTGGCGCGTTAGAAAATCTCGCTGAGACTTGCTTGCGCTGATGCTGGTACCAAGGCATCAGCTCTCTGGTACGGGACAAGGACCGTGTTGGGCGTTGACTGGACTCCTTCTCAGCAGGGGTGAGATGTGTGCAGCAGATCCAGCTGCAGAACTCGACCCTTTCTCCTCACTCAGCTAGAACCAGAGCTGGAAGGCTGCTGGCTTCCCCACAGCTGCTGCAAAGTGCTGGGCTGTGTCGGCTGAGCAGCCAGCCAGTTTTGACCGCTGTTAGTTCCCGAGCAGGGTCTCATGGTGGTGGAAGAGCATGGGTTAGTGGCTCAGGGTCCTGCTTGCCAGGAGAGGCGTGGAGGAGAGCACTGCGTGCTGTCCAGCGGATTTGCTGTCGGGACTGAACAGATTGCCATTCCTGTTTGTGCTGCAGCCACAGCTGTGAGGAATTGCTTTTGCATGGACCGCTTTGTGTGGACGCAGCGTTCATATGTAGAGGCGCTGGGCTGGAGCTCATCGAGACTGGAACCTGGTGTTTACCTGGCGTTGCATTGGCTGTGGCTTTAAATATCATCTACCCTCCCTGTGCAAGAAGGGCAGTGTCCCTTCTCATTCGCGTGAGCGTGTGGTGCGCGCCAAGGCTGCTTGTTTCCTCTGTTGTTGTTCTGCTAAGACTGTGGCAGACACCAGCTAATGCCAACTGTGGGGCAGTTGTTTGTGGTGAGGCTCCAAACTTCTTCAGGCTGAGCCTCAACTCGATTAGTTGGGAGTATCCTGTCGTGTGGGAACAGCTGGTGGCTGCAAGCTGCCTGGACTTGCTGCGCGTGCAGCTTGTCTGGTGAATGGTAAGGGTGTGTATGAGAGGTAAGGCTGCTCCTTCCCTTGCCTGGCTGCTTATCCTCAAGGTAAGTGTTATAGCAACCTGGTAGCATCTTGCAGGGAGGATTCCAGGTTGGAAGGAAATGAGGGAGGGCCAGATCTGTATTGGCATGATTGCAATGTTGGGGGGAATTAAAATGCTGGTGTAAATGGTTAGCTTAGCAAGGCTGGATTTAGTCTTAGAGATATGGTGTCCTTCCGTGCTTACACAGCATGTGAGGCAGGAAATGAATGCAACTGTGCTTTTAAGGAGTTAGCCACAGGTTTATAAACGGGTGGCCTAGGAACGATTAAGACAAGGATACGCGTATTCTAACAAGCATAGACTTGTATCATGGGCTGACAGACCATGAGGCCTACAGAGCTTCCGCCGTTCAGTGGCTGTGTGACACTCTACAGTAGCTGGCAGAGGAGACCTCTGGCCACCAGCACTGTTAGCCGTCAGGCGTGCCTGCACCGCGTGCAGAAGATCCGACGGAGCACGGGTTCACAGCCAGCCAGAGACCGTACTCTGCTGTCACTTCCTTTGTGAAATGAACCTGAGCAATATTAGCGGCTTCAGGATAGTGGTGGTCTACACTGGCATGGCAAAGGCTGCCAGATCTTGGTTAGCATCTGAGCAGGCAAGTCTGAAACAGCTGGGAACATCATCCCTCTGTGCGGGCGGTTGTGTACTGGGAGTGCTTCAGTTCCCCAGAAGTGCCAACCCTGTAACCGTCATGAGCACTCCACGCCCCTGATGAGGGAGGGGATATTAACGAGTTGCTCCATCCAGCACGGGCTGGTCTTAGAGGTAATTGTACCGGGGCACTACTGGGAGCAGGGTGGGCTGATTGACAGTGTCGCTGCCTGCATCCTTTCTCTGCAGAAGCTTCCCTTGGTGCCAAGTGCGCAGCAGGCAGCTGGTGGCTGGCCTGCCCGGCGGCCTGTTGGCTTTGGGCACAGTGCTCGCTCTGCAGAAGGTTTGGGGAAAGTTTAGTCATCCAGATTGAGATAGAACCTGATGTTTTTGCACAAGGAATGTTTATGAGCCTCCAGCTCCATGCGTCCCTGGGATGTGGGTAGGTTAGGCTGGAAAGAAGTGATTGAGGTTAAGTGCTGGCTGTTTGCGTTTTCCCAAGAAACAAGTGAAAATGTGTAGTTATGATTCTGAACGTGAAATTGTGTAACTATGATATTCTTTAAAATTGCTTAAAAGAAAAGGTTTTACTGTCATCCATAAGGGTTAACCACAGAGTGGCCACATTAGTGGCTTTTTCACAAAATGTAGCATTCCTCGACACTTCACTGAAGTGTTACAGTGTGAATACAGCAAATTACTTTATTGCAAAATTGATTGCGAGTTGTTGCTGCTTCACTTATTACAATTTGTGTGAGTGCTATTGGAGTTTTTAAAATGTATTGCTCTGTGCAAAACTTTTAAGTCACTAATGATGAGAAAAATTACGTGGGAAATTAGACTCAGTCGAGTAATATTGATGGTTAGTTTGTCAGATTTCTGGATAAGCTTTGTCTAAATAATTTGGCAAACAATTTTCTCTTTCTTCTTGAGTCCTTTGAAGCTTTTCCAGTTCATTGTTGTTAGAGATAGGGCTGTCTTTGGAGGAGCATGGCCAGTGTAGACTGAATGTGCTGGCCTTGTGGGTGTTAGGCAGCGAATATCAATTGCTATGCAGGAGTAGCCTAAATGACATCCTCACCTTCTAACAGATATTGCCAAGTGTCGTTATTCTGCGATGTTCTCCTTTCTGACTTGCATTCAAGGAAGCACAGCTTCTCTCCTAAGAAAGGCTAGTGTCTGGAGAGTAGAACCGAGCTCAAATCCAGCCCTGGTAAAACTATTCAGTTGTTGTTCTGTAGTTGGCTTTAGCAGGCTCCTCTAAACATGGCTGAGTACTGTGTACTCTGCAAAATGGAACTGCAGCTATCCAGAGCTGGAG